GTTGAGCTTTATAAAATATAAATTGTTTTGTTCAAATTTGTTCAATTATTTTCCTAATGCCTTAAAAACATAAAGAATTTTAAAATTTTGCCGCCTTATTTTTAATGTGCACTTTTAGCCATTTGCTTGTCAAAGGTCAAGATTAGTCTACATATACCATTTTGTACCTTATTTGATGTTGAGTCAATTCACTGTCATCAACATAAATGTGACCTTAAAATTTTTTTAAAATTATTATTCAAAGCTAGGAGCTTTATAAAATATAGAGTGATTATACACAATGTAGACGAAGGGATTGAGGCTGGAACAGACGAAGGATATCAGTAACTAGCCCCGATAATATGATCCAACTAGACTGACGCTTTCACTGTCTTTTATTCTATGAAGATACCACTACAGAACACGGTCTCTACTTTTAACCCCTATCTTCAACCTACCTTAATCATTTTATATCTTTTATAAAATTTAACATTTTTCTTCCACTTGATTAGGTATCACGACTTTTGCGCCTAGAACATTTGCGCCGCGACTTATGCGCCGGGCGACTTTTGCGCCGCGACTTTTGCGCCGCGACTTATGCGCCGAGCGACTTGTGCGTCGCGACTTTTGCGCCGGGCGACTTATGCGCCGCGACATTTGCGCCGCCATAATTTACAAAAATAATATCTACAGAGGGACCTAATTATAGTATACTCCTTAAAAAATGGTATCCAGGAGCTGAAGGAATTTCAGGGAGTACAATATTTCGTAAGTACAATAGCCCCCTCTAATAAACCGACCCCCTAGAGGGGTCATTTGTAAAGAACTTGACTTTTCGGATCAGGATATTTGTCTGCTACCCCTATTCAAGCATGATTTTGTGCATTATAGTGTAGGGTTGTCGGGTCCAGATATCAGGATCTGAAAAAGGCCGGATAGCCGAAAATTTTAGGTCGGATATCGGATCCGGATCTTGATATCCGAAGATCTCCAACTATCCTACACCTTCTATAGTGAGGTCCAGCTGTAGTTTTTCATAATTATTAATGATAGTGGCGGCGCAAAAGTCACGGAACCCTTGATTACACTTAAACAATTAAAATGAAGCCACTTATTATGTATTTATTAAAAAATGCCGTAGTGCTCGGACCAATGTAAAAAATAACATTTTAATGTTTCATATTTCGGGCATAAAAATGTATATTTTAATATGCTTAAACCTGCCATAGTAAATATTTTTAAATAAATTTGAAAGTGTGTGGGAGAATGAGCTTTTATTTGAAAGATTGTGGGAATTTTTGTGAATTTTTACTGTACTTTTTTAAAAGACACTCATTATTTCTTTTAATTTTCATTTATTTTATTAAAAAATTTTCTCGACAAACGTTAATAAATTAAATTCACTTCAAAACTTTTTTCCATTAGGTAAATAATTAAAATTAGAGATATAATTAAAAAGTTACAATATGAAAAGTGCAGGAAATTTCTTCATAAAATCCGGTTTTCGGGGTTCATTGCGGTTTCCGCGCTTTATGTTCTCAGTTTTAGTTCCCCTTAAAGTACTTCGTTTTTGAGAGCCTATATCTCGGCCCATAATTTATCTTTTTGTGCCATTCTTTTGAGTCAACCGACTCAGTTCGCCAGACTCTTTTGAATGACTTATTGTTGTCTGGATGTGAGACATGACATAATTTTCAGATATTTTTCATTAAATTTCCATCAAAAAATGGACAACAAAAGTTTCTACAGCGTTAGTTTTTAATTATTAATTCGAATAAAATACATAATTAAAGGCGTTATATCCAAAATACAAGGACTCTGGATTTGTCCCTGAAATATTTTTTAATGCATCAACTACTACATTATTTTCTTTGATGATAATATTATCAAATTTAAGTCTTTGCTATATCTTTATTAAATATAGGTACTAAATTGAATTAAATATTATAATAAGCCGGCCCGGTCAGGTCCGAAAGATCTAGTCGGGCATCGAATTTTGGCCGAAAAAGACTCAGTCGGTCCGGTCCGATAAAATGATGTTTGAAAAAAATAACTCAAACTTCTGCCCGACTAGAAAACAGCAACCTTAGTTTGTTATATCAATCGAAAGCCCTCAATACGCTCTATCTTTTTTCCAACTGGATGACGATATGAAAGGTGCAAGAAATAAATGTGGTGATCAGACTTGGTCCATCCTTTTAAAAAGTCGTTGGCTGTCACTTTCGAGGGCTTACGAATGATATAAGATTCATAGGAATTGGATCAAGCATTAAAAGGTTATGAATGATAAAATTCGAACAACAGAGAACTCGTACAAAATTTTTTTCGAATATTAGACTTTTTATGACATAGATATCGGATTCTCCAACCATAGATAGGACATAGCTGGGACAGTATGGCAGCTTTCTATTCAAATATTTTTTGATTCCCAGGTATTATGCCAGCACAAATTAAGCAGATAATTCCTGCATTTTTTAAAATTAAATTTTATCAAATTTAAGGCAAAAATATCTTGCATTAAAAAGCAATACAAGCACCTTACTGTTTATTTACTCAGTAATTGATGTTTTGCCTCATTTAATGACATTAATTTATTTTGTAAGAGTATGTATTGGCTTAAATTTTTTTCCAGTTTGGTTGACTAGATTTTCTGTAGTTTATATAGTTATCTTAAACATTTCGACTTATTTTATGTATATATTGATGGCATTTGACCGGCTATTTGCTTTATCTTTCCCAATTTTGTAAGTTTATTTAAAATAGTATTTGATAGAATTAATCGGTTCTAATTATAAGGTAGAAACACTGATGTGTTATTAATAGGGTATTTGATAAGCTTCAAGTCGGGGATACCTTTATCGTTACTGAGTTGGTTCTTGTGTCCCCCCTCCCCCTCCACATGGATATTTATGGTGATTTTTCTATTTTTATGTACAAATTATATTTTGTTTGAAAGAATCCATCGAGCTGAATCGAATATTATATGGCATCCCGGATTAGATAATTCTTTAAAAGCTATAACTCGGTGGTACCTTGTGGTATAACCGTTGATTACATATATTTTTCAGTTATACTAACTTGAACAAAAAATTCTATATTATCGCTCATTTAACAACATTAATACTTTTTGATATAATAATCTTTCTACTTTATATTATGCCTATATTTGATTATAAAACTGTAATAGTGACTGGCTATGCATTTGATAATGTTTTCTTTGTTTCTTCAATTAATCCAATATATCCTTTTATTCCAATGATAATTTTTATCATATCTTCAATTATTTATTTAATTATTGCAATTTTAGCTAAATACAAAACTGGTCATTTTTAAAATATAAAATAATTTGGGACTAGTAATGTATATGGTTGGTATTGGGTCTCAAAATACCGAACGGTTCTTCAGCCCCCTAGACAGTACCTACATGGATCTTCGTTGTAATGTGTAAAAAACGATTACAACTCTGATCCCGATTTTATGACCTTTATTGAATGAATGAATGCCATAGGCAAATAGTGACATTGAGAAAAAAATTTTTGACCATTATGAGCCTTTTGATTAAAGTGAAATTTTGTTAATAGCTTTTTAGCACCAAATTTTCAGATTTAACCACTCAAAAAATGAGAAAACTTAATCGTTCTCTGTCTTTAATAGTATTTCTTAATATTGGTTTATTATTACTTGATTACATAATAACTTATCTTATTACTGGAGACTCTACAAAGAAGCATGAAATTCTTAGTGTTGATAATTGGTTTATTTCAACATATATTTCTGTGATTTATCTTGTTGGTTTAGCTGCAAATGCTCCAATTTTATTCATCAATAGGCAAATTTTTTCTTGGTTAAATGAAATGTATTTCTGTGTTTATAACAATCCAAAATCTTATGAAGAATCTAACGGATTCTCCCTCATCAGTCGGGACAATCTTCAAAAATCTCGGAAATCATAAATTTTAGTAGATTTTCGGAACTTGAAATTCCGACCAACCTCTGCATACCAAAGCTTTTTATAAGCTCTAAATCCACAAAAACATTTCTTTGAGCATATGAAGCTTAATAAATCCAAAATTTATTTTTTAAAGTTCCGACTACAGAGAAGCTTACTTAAAAGAATTTAATTTAATCAAAAAATTTTTCAAAAAAATATTTAATAATTCAACAACTCCAATATTAGTTGTTCCAAGAGTTATTAATAACAATCAGTTAAACCAAGTTACTACAATTTCTTAATAATTGGATTATTTCTGTGGATATTTAAATTTTATTTTCTTAATTTTTTAACAATTTTATTTTTATTCATTAAATATATGTTGATAATTTTTTTTAAATTAAAGAAAATTTCTCCACTTTTAACTTTATGAAACCCCCATTGCAATATATACACTCCAATTTAAGTTACAGTTATTAGAATTCGGTTAACACTTATGATTTAAACTACTGGAATTTTTTCTTACCATACTTCTTCGATTAATTACCCGTCAAGCGAGATATCGAGGAATAATTACCCAAGGTAATTATGTATCAAGAAACTTTGATTTATTTTCAATTTTTGTGCTTTTGAATTGTTACAGTTCGTCCCCCATCCTTTCCTTCCTCAAATATTAAAAATGGTCCGACTTAATGCCTAATATTATAAATCTCATTAATCATGGCTGCGAAACTGGATTACGAAATTTTCATAAGGACTTCTCTTTACCTTTCACAGCAATCGAATGTTCAAAAACGATTATTAAAAAATTAAAAAGATTTTTTGAACACTGTCGAATTAAATAAAAATAATTTCTCAAAAAATGATTTAAAAATCAAGTTTATATTAAGTAACTCTTCCTATTAAAATCTAGAACGTTATCTTAAAAATTTTGATAATAATAACAAAAAATTTATCAGGTCTCTAGACTATACATATATGTATTTTTATATGAAAAAATTAAATATAAGTAAATTAAAAATGAGCAAATTCTAATCAAAATATGTATTATTTATCTTATAAAATTATATTTAAAATATCTCTTATCAAATCATGTTAAAGCAAACGCCATTCCAGCATGTAAGAGAACGAGCAATGCCGAATCGACCTTTATATTAAAATTAAATTTCAAAAATAATTTTTAATTAACAGTTATTAATGCCCATCTCTCAGTCCAATTGTAGGTATGAGAATAATTTATATTGTAATGGATTTCTACTACACCACAAATACCTGTCAGTAAAGAACACAAAACTGCTGTAGGCATTTCCTTAAAAATGAGATTTTAAAAATTATGGGTCTGATTTGGGACTGTCAATTGGGAATTCATAAACCTTTGAATATAAATTTGATTTCTGTTTTAAAAAGGGGGTTGTCAATAAAAAAAGACAGTGTAGCAGTGTTGCGCCGGAAGTTCCGGTTCCGGTACCAAAAAATTAGATCCGTTACCGACCAAATTTGGGGTTCCGGCGAAACACTACAGTGTAGTATTTTGTAATTTATCAAAGCGGCCAGACTCATTCCAAAAGATAACAAAGTTTGGATGAGATTTGACCCATTCAACCATCCCACCTCCAAATTATCCTTATATTTTTGCTTTATTAACCAGGCTGGAGGGGAACTTCGCCAGCCTTAGAATTTTAAAAGAATAAAAAACCCCGCAAAATCCAACTATGTATATGTATAAGTTATCAAACCCCCAACAGAATTCACGGACTCAAGTCCTAAAAGAGAGTGAGATTACTGGAAAATCACCGAGCATTAGGAACTGAATATAGAACAGTGCTGGGTATGGCTCCGGGAGCTAGCTCCGGAGCCCGGCTCCGGAGCCGGCTCCGGCGGAGCCGGAGCCGGAGCCGGAGCTAAGATTTTGAAAACCCCGGAGCCGGAGCTGGAGCCGGAGCCAAGAATTTCAAACCCCGGAGCCCGGAGCCGGAGCCAAGGTTTTCCAATTCCCCAAAGCCCCGGCTATACACCCCTAAAGATGGGTTAGAGAAAAAGAAGTAAGCAAAGATGGTAGGCGAGAAAAGAAAAGGAAGAGAAAATTGAGACGGGTAAAAAAGATTTTCTTTCCTTTCCTTTGTAAAGTAGTTGTGGTTGAATGGATAGTGAGTTAGGTTCCGAGTTTTATCCGGTTATGGGTTCGAGAAATATTACAAAAAATGATTAAATAATTGTTTTTCTTTGGAAAATAAATTATAATAAGCATTTTTTAAATAAATAAAGCTGGATAAATTTTTTAAATTGATTAATTTTAGTCTCCTGTGAGTCAAATTTTTCAAAATTTTCGCCTGCGGCGCAAAAAAGGAAGATTTTTGGCTTAAGGATCTTCCAAAATTCACAAAATTTTCGCCTGCGGCGCAAAAAGCAAGAGATAATGAGAGGATAAATCCAACATCTCCTATTCGCCCAACTCCCAGACAACCCAAATCCCCTTAATCCAGCTTAATTCCCCGATATCGCCCTTAATGCACACGATAATCCACCCAAATCCCTCTTAATCCATTGATACTCCTCTTAATCCTCAGATATCACTCGATATCCCCCTTTATCTACCCAAATCCCCCAATGAAAATTAATTAATTGATTTTCCAGCCGGAGCCCGGAGCCAACATGGAGCGGCTCCGAAAATCGCCGGCTCCGGAGCCGGAGCTGGAGCCGGAGCCAAGATTTTATAAGGTCGGAGCCCGGAGCCGGAGCCGGAGCCAAGATTTTGAAACCCCGGAGCCCGGAGCCGGAGCCGGAGCCAAGATTTTCAAACCCCGGAGCCCGGAGCCGGAGCCAACAAATGGCAAATACCCAGCACTGATATAGAATAAATTTCGGGTTTCGGAACAGCAACCTTAGTCCCGAACCGAAACCATAATTTATAAAAACCAACCAAAAAATTGTAATTTATCAAAAAAGTATTTTCTATATTTTTGTAGTTTGCAAATAACCAGCAAAAAGATCCAGCAATTACTATACAAGAAACAAAAATGGCTAATTGCTTCAAAAATAATTTTTAAAAAATATTTAAAAATAAAAACCTCTGAAAAATGAATTCGATTTTCTTTTAGAGGACATTTGCCAATAAAGAAGATAATATGGCAATGAATGGCAGAAAGATAAAAAAGTAGAAAAGATAATGCCTGAAAAGTTTATTTTGTTATTTTAGAATAATACTTTTGGATCTCCTACATATAAAATACCAAATATTTGTTATCCTCTATTTAAGAAACGATTTTTTATGCAGCTCTCCAACGGAGACCTATCTAAGCAATACCACACAATATCAACTACAGTACCTCAAAGCAATCTCCACTAACACAATAAAAATTAGATTGTTCAGCACAATCTTCATATTATACGGTCGAACCTCGTAAAACTAATCTTACACCGGACCAAAACTAAGAATTCAAAAATGTCTTGCGATTGAACAAGCTGTTGGATAAAACTAATATCTTTTTAGTCCTGTGTTTTGGGCATTTGTTGGCTCTGGCTCCGGGGTTTTCAAAATCTTAGCTGTGGGGCTAGCTCCCGGAGCCATACACAGCACTGGACCCATATAAATTCTTTATTATCTAGATTTGTCTGTATTTAATAAAATATTTTAAAAATAACAAACAATTGAAAAAGAGTATAAAAGAAGAATAATCCATCTTCTGGTAGAGGTCATGAAAAACAATCGGCGATAGGCCGGACCAAAATAAACATATCCTCCATTCTCTTGGGAGCCCAATTGAAATAACAGTTTAAAGAACTTGTAGAAAAATAAATTTAAAAATATTTTCCGAATCTCTCTAAATATTTGTTAATTTATTAGGATGAAAATATCACGGGTATCAGCAGAATACGAACGGAGCTGGACAATGATTCTCTTGAAATCGGGGATTCATAGTATACGTACCCGAAAATACGAAAATATATTCATGATTATCTTCAAGGGTGTTCCGAAACTGATTTTAAAAATGCGAAAGCCGAAGGATGAAACACAAAAATATTAATTCGTCCTGAAACCGAAACTGGCCAATCTTGTTATAGACATACAGTCAGACCCATATTTTAAATAAAATTCCTGCTTAGAACCGAATTTTTAATTACTGAGGGTGTACCAAGAATAGAGACGAAGTATAACCATAAAATTGGCTAGATAATATTCCCTGAAACAGTTAATTTTAATTAACTTGTAAATCAATTAATTGAAGTGTAAACTTTTTTAAAGGAAAAATTCCTCGTTAATTTACAAACCAAAAATTATTTCCAAAAACTAAAAATATTTGAAAAAAATTTTAAATTAATATTTTATCATTTTTTGCATTTTTAATGACCTAAAAATGTTTCTCAATATTTAAAAAAGGCAATATAAGAATAATAGAGAAGGGAAAAAATTCCAAATAATAATAAAGAAAAATCTTGCCAGCTTATCTTCCCACACCGCCAGTTAATTTACCCTAAACCTATTGTTTAAACATTTATGTTTTAATGGCAGATAAATTACAAATAATTATAAGAAAAGTAAAAAGAAAACTTTAAGAAAATATATTTTGAAAAATTTTAATGAGCCTAGATAATTAGAGGTTATTTAGAAATACGTAGGTTTTTTTTCTAATTTTTTAAATAGGGAATTCATTTATGCTTCTAACAAACAACGAGTTCTGTCTTCTAATTTATTTAGTAGAATAGAACACAACCGGCTATTAACCGGTACACACAATTTTCAGTTAATTCGAATTTTAAAAATTCGGTTTTCGGGTTTTTAAAATTTCATAAAAACGGTTAATTTTCTGCAAAAAATATCAGAAATTTCGGTTTTAAAATCGGTCGAATCTTACCCTTAATATAAGCTTAATTATATCCTTAAATTTGAAAAATCTTAGGAAAAAATAATTTATTTTAAAAGAAAATTATTTTTCTATGTTAAATAAATACTAAAAGCTAAATAAAAATAGAAATAAAGAGAGACGAGCATTTTGTTTTTTGTAGTATTTTTCTAGTTACCTGGCAACATAAATATTTAATTTTGGTAGAAGATTTGTTAAAGCAGAAGAATTAAATGTTAATTTTGAAAATTAAAAGAAAATCTGTTTACGTAATAAAAATTTTTTTTAAATTTTTTTAAAGATACATAAATATACAATTAATTTTAAAAATTAAAGATTAAATTAAAAAATTAAAAAAAATTAAAGATTTTAATTTTTATTTGTAAATCAAATTGAAGTAAAGAAAAAATAAAATTATGTAGTAGCTGCCCTGAGTAATTATTGTTTCGATCTCTCGCTGAAGAACATAAATAAATAGAGGCGGGGTAATTATTAGAGGTTATTTTATAAAGGCTAATTATAACAATTTTTAAAGGAGTATTATTGTTTCAACCTTACGCTGGAGGGGGTAACTAATACAAGCGGGGTAATTATTTGAGGGAGGGACATTAATACAGTTTTTACGGAACTTGTTTGTCTAGGTTCATGTGTGTCACAAATTTTTCCCGTGTTTTTTCCTTCAAATTATGTTAGAACAGCGTTCCTGTTGGTCTTAGCTGCTGAGCAAATGTCGGCGGTAGGTTAGAACAAATTATAAGTATTGTAGCCTATTTAATGCCCTATCCAATGATACCAAATGCAAAATAAAGTACCATCCCTTCAGGGCCCGTACAATAAAATCGGGGTTTGGGTTATTTAACCCCTACCCGTGTCGCGAAAGGCGACAATTAGAATTGAATTTAAGTTTATTTTTTCCAAAATTAATTTTCTTTAAATTCCAATCTTTGTTTTTCTTAATCTAAAATTGTTTTTCAACCGCACCTGCTGTCTAGGAAATTCTCTTTCTGTTTAAGAAATTTTTTCTATTTCTAACTTTTAAATTAGCTTTCTTTTGTTTCTTTAAGCGCATCTATTTTTAAATTAACTTTTTTTGTACCAGCCGCCATTCATTAATTTCTATTTTCTTACTTTTGGAATGTTGTTTTTACCTTTAATTCTCTACCCGCCTATTCTTTTGGCCTATATAATCTCCCTTCCAAAACCCACATTAGCTTTTTCTCATAAGCTCTACTCTGTTCTGTTGGTCCTAGTTCTTGGTTCTTTGGTTGGCTCTAACTTACTGCTTTGGCTTATTATTGTTTGGCGCTTTATTTATTGGATTTAATTTGATTTGGAAAATAAATATTATTTAATTTGCTTGGAAGTGTTTTGTTTGAACTAGACTATTAGGCTGAGACTTATTTGTTGGTCCCTAGGCGTTTTACTATATATTTTTTGGTGCAACGGCCGGGAAACCATCCTGGTCACCGTGTGGAATCAATCTATTGCCTCTATTTGGAATTTATTGCTTTGGACTTAATCAAATTGGATTGCTATGGCTGCCTGTATTCGACGCAACATTACTGCAGTTCTGAAGGGCATACAAACTTACACTAGAGAAGCAACTCAATTAATGGGCAAAGATGTGGACGAGGGTATTTGTGAGAGATTAAGGTCAAAGAAGCTAGACTTGGAATCTGCCATAGCACGAATTGTTGAATTGGACACCCAATGGACTGATATTATAAATAGTCTTGACGCAACACAAAAAATGGCTGAGGAATCTATTTACATGAATTTCCCGCATAATGAAACTGGTGGATTAGAAGATGGAGATGAGGTTCCTCTTTCCAAAAGGCATTTTTTGGACCAGAATGAATTTGCTCGTGAAGTCCTAAACATGGTTTCGGAAATGCTTAACACCCTGGAACGCTCTCGAACCAACTCTCGTCAGTCGGCGCTGAGTGAGAGTAATCATAGCGTAGATTTGAATGAGGAGACAAGTAATGCTAGAACTAACCATTTGGATGCTAGGATGAATAACACTGTAATAAACCATTTGGATGCTAGGACCAACAATTCTGAGAGGAATAATGCAGGATTACCTGTTTACCACGCACTGCAACCGCCTTTTTTGCAACCACGAGTGAATCTCCCGCCACTTCACTTGCCGCATTTCTCTGGTGATTCAAAAGACTGGCCAACCTTCTGGCAAATGTTTTCGTCTACGATCGATAATGAACCAAGCTATAATAATGTGGTGAAAATGAACTACCTGCTTTCTCTCCTGGATGGTCCAGTGCTAAACGTGGTAGCCGGTTACCTTCCAACGAATGAAAATTACCCGCGTGTGGTGGAACTATTAAAAACTCGATATGGGGACTCAAAAGTATTGAAGGAAGCGTTGCAATCTGAACTGTACCATCTTGCGCCAGCCAATGACTCCGTAATAGGACTTCGGAAATTTTTGGATGTAATTGAGCGTGTATGTCGGCAACTGAGTGATTATGGGATCCAAGACGATTCATGGATTATCTTTGCTCTGAAGGAAAAGCTACCCAGAGGGATACTAGCCAAATTGATTGAAAAGGAGAAAATGGCAGGAAAAACTTGGAAGATTGGAAATTGGAGATCAGAACTTAACCTGCTCATATCAGTAAAAGAGGAAGTGCAAAGATGTACGGTTAATAAGGAAACCGAAGGACCGCCGCGAAGAGAAAGACGTCCATTTTACCAGCCAGAGCCTACTCGTTCATTTCCAGTGGCTAACCAACCGAGATCGTCCTGTTGTTCTTTGTGCCAAGGAAACCATTTTCCGAGCGAATGTACTAAATATGGAAATACGCAAGCCAGAAAGGACCGTTTATTGGAACAGAACCGTTGCCTGAAATGCTTAAGAGAGGGTCACCAAGCCAATGACTGCCCGAACCACCGTCGCTGTAGTAGATGTCAGGGACCTCACCACTTTTTGGTATGCTTTTCGCGAGATGTCAAGAACCAAAACCGACCCAAATTTGTTGGATTCAATCAGAGGACGTTCGTTCAGCCTAGTCATCCTGTACCAGTTTTTAAGCCAAGACAGTTCACCCAGTCACATCCAATCTGGGAGAGAAGAGATCAACCGTATGCTATT